TTCAGAATAGTAAGCTTAATTAATTAGGATGAATTAAGATAAGTAGATTAAATAAATATGGAAAATAAATAAAATAGATAAGGTTTGAACAGAATGTATAACTTAAAAGGTAAGGGGTTAGTGAAATTAATTTAAGAAATTTTAATTATTGTTAATTTAATCAGGTCTGCAAGGGTAATACAGACAATATAATACTTGTACCTATTCATTAGCGCTTTATAAATATTAATACTATTAATTAGGACTAAATAAAAATATTTACATAATATGACATTTAAAATAAGGTTTATAAGTTAGAAAATTCAAGTATTTATTAAAGTTGCTTTTGATTTTGAATTTTTACTAACTTTATACGTATTCATTTGTTTATAGGATCGGAATCAGAAGAAATTTATTAGACATTTCATCCAAGCACAAAGATCATTTTCGATACAATTTCCCTTATTGAGCCATACAATCTCTACGTATTCGGATAATCTTATTTTGTCATTTTACTATTTAAAGATATCCGAAATTGCTACGTATTTCTCAATAAATATTGAATTTTATAAAACAACCCTTAATTCTAATAGTTCAAGATATGATAAATATTGTTTTTTTTTAAAGTTCTAAATATTTATTTGTATTAACAGTTTTTAAAAAACATAATTTTAATGTTGCATGACATACCGTAGGTATAATAAAATATATAATTGGTCATTTATAGCATATATCGATATAATATATTTACTACTGAGTAGCATTACGGTGCATTTGTATATTTTTAAGATTGACTAAACTATAAAGTGCGTCATTTACTATTTTTCATTTGACATTTCTTATTGTAAAATAATATAGATAATGTCTAACCCATCTTCCTATTTGAAGATGGGTTAGACGTTATCTATATTATTTTACAATAAGAAATGTCAAATGAAAAATAGTAAATGACGCACTTTATAGTTTAGTCAATATTTAAAAATACACAAATACGCCGTAATAGCCAGTGTCAGTAAAATGAACTATCAGTAAAATGGATTGTCTGTAAAATGAGCTGTCAGGGAAAGGCATTTGGGAAAAGTCTATGTCGGAGAAAGATCCTGTCGGAAATATGTCTTGTCAGAATATGGTTCTGTCAGTAATATGTCCTGTCTAGAAATGGTACTGTTGTAAATAGGTCTTGTCGGAGATATGCCTTGTCTACCACATAGGTTGTAGGTAAAATGGTCTGTTGGATATATAGTGTCGGGGAAATTAGAGGTCGGGGAACGGACTTTCAGGAATGGAGAATCAACGGTTTAGAAGTTCCTTGTTTAGCAAGTAGATCTGCTTGATTATGAAGAGAGTTTGTAGAGTGAGATTTAACTTTGGATAGAATAAAATTAAGGTTTTTAGAATTTTTAAGTGAGTTAATTATTTGTAATATATCCCAGTTTTTGTTTTAAATTGGTTTAATAAGAAGAGTGTTTGTTAGATTTTTAATTGCTACTTTACTATCTAAAAGGATAGTTATAGTAGAATTTGTTGGTATAGTAAGTAGAAGTGTGATAATTAAGAATAATTCAGCACAAGTAGAGTCTGGATAAGGTGGTAGTGCTAAGTTTTATATATTAATTATATATATATATAATCAAAGCTATTACAGCTATGCTGCAACAATTTGCAGCATAAGCTATAATAGTTTAGATATCTCTAATACTTATATATTTACATTGATTAATCTCCTCATTTTGTCCATATTTGAAGAGTTGTTTGTGATGCAAGCAATAACAAATGGCATTTGAATACCATTTGTAGATAAAACCTCTAGCACTTTTTTTTTGAGAAATTCTGCTATGTGATGATATGCAGATAGATTCATAATATCTAGCACAAACTCTTGATATTCTTTAAGAGCTATAAATCTATAAATTGAATTTCCTGAATTATCAGTCCATCCATCAAGAGAAATTGTAAAATCTGTAAAAGTAGGAAGAGTACTTAATTTTTCTAGAGTATGATCAGAGAACATCTTGGTTAAAAGATGCCCTTTAATCATACTTTGAGAAGAAGGATGGTAATAAGGATTTAATTTATAGAGAAAGTTTTGAAAATATAAATTTTTGACAAGATAAAATGAATTATTTCCATATATTATAGACTTAAAAAGTTTTTGATGAAGCTTTTCTGACTGTACTTGTGATAAAGGTAGCACAAACTATTTAAGAATAGGTTCTTGATAAGAGTGAGATATGAATAGCTGCTGTGCACTATTATCTTCTTGAATAGTTGGCTCGGTTAAAGTATCCTCATTATCATGGGTATACTTGTGAGATGAAGAGCTTTCTTTAGCAATCTTATAAATGTAAGTAGCTTTATCAGAAATGGGCCAACTATTACATTAAAGAACATGTTGGTAAAGCCTTTCAGGCTTGTCACTCAATTCTGTTAAACAATATTTGCATTTTGCACTATATCTATTTCCTTCTTTCTTATTCTCAAAATGGTAAAAACCAGACTACCAATAGCTTTGTATTAAAAGTGGAAGAGTAAAGCCAGAAGGAACTTGTATAGTAATGTTATTAATAGTTTGTTTTTTTTGTATTGAAGACAATGTGATCTAGCTTTCAGATAAGTTACTTTATTTTTTTTTTTTGTTTAAGGCAGTTTACATTGCTGACGAGATTTTATTAGTATTTGCATACAGAATTATACATTGATAATCCCTACTGTTTGTAATTACATGAAGAGTGTACAATAAGCTACATGTACAACTTTAGTCATTGTCTAATTTAAGTAGTCTGCTACACAGGCAATTAGACTACCCGATTGGTTCTATACTATGCTGCTATACTTGTAACCTGCCTGTTAGTTACCTATTTTATTTATTTTCCATATTTATTTAATCTACTTATCTTAATTCATCCTAATTAATTAAGCTTACTATTCTGAA